GGCGCAAAACATCGATATTAACGTAGTTCTGGCGTTTTGTATTAAAAAATAGTCGTTCGCGAATAAAAGTAGTTATTCGCCGCGAATCGACGAAAACGTAGATATGTCGTTCACTAGTCCCGGATCCATATTTTTGGGTTTTTTAAATTCTTAATCGTTTTAGATAATTTATCAAAAGCTATTGATTTAAGGATTATTCTATCTGCAGGAATGATCTGATCAGATCAACGTACAAAATCTCGATGTAATTTTTTGTCTAGTTGGCGAAAATGATCCTTCTAGGGCTTTTGATTAATTGAAAATAAAAATTAATCCTTACTAGTTGGTGTTCTGCGCAATATTTTTGTGTTCCGTATAATTTACCTAACAAAATTTTTTATTTTTTTAGAATCTAATAATGATTTCACGACATAATTCTGAAGAGTCATTTGATTCTTGTAATTCTAGTCCTTCAATTCCTTCTGTTCACGAACAACGATCTGTTACATCATCAAAAAGTCGTCGGAGTACAGAAGATCAACATGTTTTGGTTGTTAGAAATCTGAAGGGAAAAGGAAGGGTTATACTGCTTCGAGATGTTCGTTGTTTTTGATAATTTAGTTTTAAGAGGGATTAGTAGCCAATTTTGACTCGGCCATATTTCTGTTTCATAAAATTCTCGTTTTATTAAACAGATTTTTAATTTCCTACAATTTTTGATCTAATTTCTTTTTTTAGCTTTTTTATGTTTTTAACCTCAATGCGAGAGCAGATGGTGATAAAGCAGATAATATTGACAATGTTGTTGACATTCATTTTGTTGGTGACTGTGCTCTTATAAAGGTTTATTTTTTTCATTTCTATTACAATTAAGTTTTGAATTCTAGATGTTATCAAAGGATGCTGCTTGCCGGGCCAAGTCAGCGTTAGACGAAAGTTGGCTTTTTGACAAGTTTATTACAGTTGACTGGGCTTCTATTCCACAAATCCATCAAATGCAAACTCTCGGTGCGGGCAAGCCACCGCTTGCTGTGGGATTTCGGCGAAAGGATGATCAAGCAAAAAGACGGCAAAGACAATCGGCAAATGGTCATCCTAATTCATATGGAGGAGGTAATTTTGACAGTTCTGGAGATATTGATGATATTCAGGTAATGATTTTAACGAATATATTAAGACTGGAGACTCATTCGATTTAAAATTTGTAGGCACAAATTGCTTATTATGGGACTAATTTGCCTTCAAAAAGGACTCGTTTCTTGCGTCCTGGGACTGGTTTAAATGAAGTTCAAAATCTTAGGTAATTTAAAAGTATTTTCTAATTTTTTGTTTTCTTTTTAAAGTTATGTCCGTCATCATTCTGACAATAAGAATAAAAAGGAAGACAAAAAAGGAGGGGGAAGTAATTCAACCATCAATCAACAACATTCTCCATTACATAAACGATTTATTAATTCTGCCTGCACAAGAACAGTTACTAGAGAACGTTTGCCTCCCTCGCCTGTTTTGTATGTCGAAGGACTTGAATATTATGGAGATTGGACCAACAATATTTTGGCTCGCACTGACGTATGTCAAGTAAATTTTACTTTTAGTAAAATTTTTTTAATCTGAAAGGAATTAATTTTTAAGTAGTATTTTTTTGTTAATTTGTTTTGAATTTTAATTTTTAAAGTTGGGATTATTTTATCCTTTTAATAATGAAATTAGAATATTATCTGAAAATTTGACAAGAATTTACTATTAGACTGGGTTTAACTTGAGGGCTTTAAATTTGCGAAAATGAGAGGCTGAAGGCTAGAGGCCGAAAAAGAATTGGGGGGAACAGGTGTTTATTAAAAGTCGGCATGGAAGAGTGTAAACCAGAATTCCTTTAAATTCCATTTATTCTTTTGTGGATTAATTTTCATTTTTTTTAAATTTTCTTTTAATTTTTAAAATTAATTTTTTAGTTAATAACAATATTTACTTTCTGTGGAGTAGTTAAAGACATTTATATTGGTTATTGCAGACAAGATAATATTGTTGAAAAATGTTATGGATCTTGTAAGCATATGGCTTTAGTTCAGATGGAAACTGTTGATCAGGCTACTCGGGGTTTTTTTTTAAATTTTTAAAAAATAAATTTTATTTTTTTCAGCAATTAATGAATTTGATCATACTTGGCAAATGGGACGTTTTATCAATGTTAATTAATTAAAAAATTTGGTACTTTTCGGTTACGTGACCGCACTTTAAAAATGTTTCAAAGGGTCATGAATATCGACAAACTATACATATGTCCTTTGAAAGTTGCTTGACGAGCTGAGTCGAACGGCACAAGTTACGATACACAATAAACCTATAGAAGTGACTATTTTGAGAATTTTTATCTCGGTTCAAAACTAAAAGCGAGGGCTGATTTTGGTGTCATTTGATCCAACTCGACGAGCTCTTTTGAATGACATATAGTTCGTTCATATTCATGACCCTTTTTAAACATTTTAAAGAGCGGTCACATAACCGAAAAGTACCAAAAATTTTAAAAATAAAACAACTTTTTTAATTAGGTTACTTATTCTCACCATCAATGTATTGAACATGATCGAAATAATCGTCGTGATCGTTACTCACATAAACGTTTTGTTCACAGTTAATTTAAAAAAAGAAAAGGTGGATTTTATCTTAATTGGCATTAAAAGTTTTTTTGTTTTTATTTTCGCTTTAAACAAATATTTTCTAAAATTTATGTATTAACATTTTTGTTCTCGAAAGAGAAGTTTATTTTGACTTTATTTTTAAGTTTTTTGTTTAAATTAAGGTTGCATAAATATTTTAAATTAAAAAACATTGTTAGACATTCTGAAATGTTTTTAGTAAACAAATAATATTTTAAAGAAAATTTAAAAAAATTTTTATTAAAGATTTTTGTTGGTTTTGCCTGGTTTTGAATTTATATCTTGTTTATTGTATAGGTTTTGCAAACTACATATAAGTTGCCTAAACAATTATATATCTCAGAACAATTATTTTAAAAATCTTAATAAATTCTACTAAATTTCTTTTTCTTGTCAATCCTTTTTATTTCCTATATTTATCCCCTTTATTTGTTCCTCGTTAATCCAATCCATTGATTACTTGGATGTCTTGAATTTCCAGCTGATGTGTTGATTGGTGTAAATACACTATTAGAGCGTAGGCCAGATAAATCGCTTAATCTAGGTCGAAGTTCTGCCTTAAATAAGCAATTTTTAAATTATTTTTAAGGTTCTCTCTCTCTCAAAGAGGAGAGCTTTCGACTTACCCTTTTATGTTTACTTCTAAATTTAATTACTTCACCAGGCCTATGCCAATCACTATCCAAAAGTGTTGGTTCTTCATTGTAATTCCATTGTTCTTTATTCCGTTCTCTTTTATGTTGTCTAGTATGCCAACCAATTCCCAGTATTCTGGCAACTGCCAAAAACATTCCTCCACCTCTTTTATTTTTATTAGAATTTTTTTGATTAGAATTAGTATTAATTTTTGAAGATTCCTTCTCATTAAACATCCTTTTGGATACATCTATGATCTCAGTTTGCTGATCATGCCCCACTGTTTCACAACACATTTCTTGTGCGCAAAGCGATGATTCCTTAAGCTTTAAGAGAGACTGATTTATTTTATTTTTGTTAGATTGTATGGGGGGGGGGGTGTTTGCAAATTTTTGGTTTAAGTATATGAATTCCCTGTATCCTAAGCTCTCGCTGGGTAAAATCAGAGGTCGTATGGTCGATGCGCTTCGACGAGCTGAATCGAACAATACCTGGGCGTCCCTGATTCGATAATTTTGAACGAAGTTAAGAAAGTTTGCAAAAGTTTAGCCACCGGGCAGGATTCGAACCTGCGACCACCGCTAGTTGTTGCTAGGCGCTTTCGCTCACTATATGCAGGAGCTCTACCTCTGAGCTACCGGAGCATCGACTAATGCTTTCTTTTTCCTTTTTAGATCGTTTATCCCCCGCCTAAGCGTTTTAAATGCTGCTAGGTGAATCATCCTTACAGTTATATCTCGGCGGTACATCTGGGTGTACATCTCTCGGCGGTACACCGGGGTATACCCGGGTAAAATTCTCTAGATCACTGGGGATGGGGGAGGTGGCAGGTTTGAGGTTGAGAAATTTCTCTCAAAAATATAATTTTTTACCTGAATCTGTTCAATACTATCATCACTTTCTTTTATTCTTTCTGTTTTAAAATCTCCTAAAGAATTCCAATATTTTCCTTCTCGAATATTATTATTTTCTTCTAATAAAAAAGAATCTTTTAATTTTTCTTCATTCTTAGAAAATTTTCCTCGTAAAGAACCTCCCTTTTTAGCACCTTTTGTTTTATTTTCTTCATTTTTTCTATTTTTAAATTTTTCTTTTTCTTCATTTCCTTTATATTCTCTACTTAAAAATACTTGTAATTCTTCCCCTTCTTCTTTACACAAAAGACTTAAATTCCGTGTCCATTTTCGACGTTGAGCGATAAGAAGCATTTGCCTTTCTCCAACTGACGATGAATTCATCTGTTAACTCAAAATTTGTTTAATATTATTTTTAACTGACAATAAATGATTTTTGTGCCCTTATTAGGCTAATTCAGATATTTAAAGGGATTTAGCTTTTGTGTATGGAAGTTTATACCAAGATTTGTACTCCTACTCCTTAAATTTCTAAACACCGTTAAGGACTTGACTTGAAATTAAAATACCCATATAATTAACCAACCGGTATATCCTTTTCATATTTTATTTTTTCCGTTTCTTCTGTTGTGTTAGCACTTCCAACGGGTGGTGAATCGTTTTCCGAGAACATGGTGCTAAGGACAATGCTTTTTTTCTTTGGAGGATTTAAAACAGTTGAACAGTCATCCTCTCGAACTTAAATTTAGTAAATGCATTTCATCCTTTTTAATACCCCAATCTCTATCTTATCCCCATCATTTTCACATATCCCAGACTCGGCCTCGATTCATTTGAGAGCTTTCTCGAGAGCTTTCTCTCATTTTGAGGGCTGTTATGAAGGATTAGAGACGCGATAAGATAGAGATTCCCCTGTTATATTCAAAGAAAAACCAATAGTTGCAGCTTTAAATGATCCAATAGATCTAGCAGAACGATTGCTGTGCGTTCCCCCACCTGCCCCAACTCCAACAACGTTCTGCGCAAAATTAGAACTACTTCCACTTCCATTATAACGACGAGGTCTACTAACACCTAAACAACAGGCTAGCCGGCGAAATTCTTTCATTCGGAAATAACAAAGTGGTTGGCATACAGAATGAACACCAATTAGTATCTAAAATTATATTTTTAATTCTTGTACATAATTTAAAAGTTAGTCTTGATTCTTCTACAAATTTACTCAACGAATATCCACCCTCCGGTAATCATTCTCCGTGTTTTTTCCCTAAAGCCTCTGTCCTATCTTGGCTTCCCTTGCTTCGAATTTTTGTTTCTTTTGGAGCAGATTAATCTCTGCCAGAAACCTAACTTTGTGACAGAAAACAACAAATATCTAACCTTCATTCCTCTTAAATACATATTACTACTTACTTGAAGTCCCCAACGTATTAAAGTACTCATTTGAGATGTTGCAAGTAAATTATTTAAATGTAAAAGTGCCACCATTTGAATACCCGAATATGGAAAAAGAAAAAGGACATCAACAAATAAAACAGTTCCAATAACAATTAAATATTTGTGTCTGGACATTAAATGACTTTTCCATTTTCTATGTGAATTACAACGACGACTACTATAGAAATAAAATTAAACTACCTATATCCCAATTAAGAACAAATCTAAAATACCTTTGTTCGATATTATTGTTATTTATAGTACAATAATGGCATTGTCCACACCCTCCCCCATCTCCCTGCTCAGCAGCAACACAACTACCTATACTTTGGGGACTTCCTGCTGTTGAAATTGTACTAAACTTTTTTCTATTTTGATTATATTGGTCTAATAATAATTGTTGTTTTTGCTGTTCTAATTTTCGAATTTGTGATGTTGCATGACTAGAAGGGGAAAATGAAGGTTGTAGATTGGGACTTGTATTGTTAGATTTTAATTGATGTCGGTGGTTGTGGTGCATTGACCTTTGTAAGATTAAAACAATGTATAATTATGAGTAATCTTGTTCCTCATGAAAGGTAATTTTCAGGATGTAGATTTTCAGGAGTAGCTGATCTCCGCAGCCCCTTCCTGTATTTTCTGCATGGTAAGCCTATCTCTTGAATCCCTCCCTTTCAATAACCCTCACACACAAAATTTTCTCTTTCCGTATAAACCTAAAAATAACAATTACCTTTTATGGTAAATTGAACTTCCTCGTACCAAATTTCGACCATTATTGGAAGAAAGAGCAACAGTTTCTTCCTCTCGACTTTCCCCAACATTTTTTAAAATACGTCGAGAACCAACACCTCCACATTTTTGGAATTGACGGATTGTTCGAAGAATTTTTCCGTAGCAAATAAGAACAGTAAACAAACAAACATAGCAAAGTACAAAAATCATTAGCATCTAAAAAATTGAAGATTGTTCTTTTCATTGATAAATGTTTTGAGAATGGTCTTCTTGCCCAGTTAATTACTCAATCCTTTTAATTCCCAATACGTTTCTCGAAAATCCCCTTCTATATTTTTTAATTTCTCGTCACTTTTTATAAAAATTTTTTTAGCTTATTTACGTACTTATAATAATCTATGCGAGTTATACCAGTTATACCCAGAAGCGATAACAAAAAGTGGTTTATAACTGGAGCCTACCGTATATCCTTTAATAACTACCCTGGGTAATTATTGTTTCAACCTTCCGCTGGAGGGTATAATTAATTGAGGGAGAGTAATTATACGAGGTTTGAAATTTGAATGTATTTTAGGGCATTTGTTTTGGGTAATTATTGTTTCAATCCATTGCTGGATGGAGTAATTAATAGAAGTGGGGTAATTATTTGAGGGAGGGCAATTAATATAGGTTATACTGTATTCTTTAAAATTTATTTTAATAAAAATCAAATATTTTTTTACACTCAAAACATTAATAGACAATCCTCCAGTTTGTCTTCTAGTAAAATCTTTTTGATGAACAAATAAAGAGGAAGATATTGTTTGATTATTTAAAATAAATTCTTTCTCATTTTCCTCCTCAAATTTTTCTTGTAAAATACTTTCTTTTCTAACCATCAAAGAATGGGCAGAATCAAAAAAATTAGAAAATATAGACCCAATACCAAAAAGTAAACTTATTAGCCAACTAAAAATTTAAAAAAATCTTTAAAAAGAAATTTTCTTTACCAAAATGCAAGAATAAATAAAACAATTCTTCTTCTAAAATATCTTCTATAATGCAAGGGATATTTAATTACAATAAATTCATTTGTTGTAAAAACAAGTAAATTAAATATTGTTAATAAATTACATGAACGTAATATTACTAATGTTACTTGATTTATCTGCAAAAAAATTTTTTTAAAAGATTTTTTATAAATTATATCATCATTATAAAGATGTAAAGGATGCCCTTCTCCTCTTATTTTAATTATGTATGTAAGGGAATAGAATCTCAACAATGATTAATTTTCGATTTCAAACCGAACTGAAAATTTCGATTTGGAAGAATTTACTGAAATCTACAACCATAGCATAGAGAGAAACCTCAGTTTTTGAGATTTCTGAACTTGGTTTTTGAGTAATTCCTATTAACTTGCTCATGCTAGGATTTCTTTTTTTGAAGTTTCTCCTTTTATTTAATTTCTCTTTATTTAAATTCATTAAAATATTTAAAATTAAAATCTTTATCCTGCCTTTAATGCAGTAAGTCTGTCTTGTATAGATCTCATTGTATGCACTAATAAATGTGGCATTCCCCAAGCAATTAAACATCCGCCACGAATTAAATCAACAATAGCACAATGAAGTACCATAACATAAAAAACATTAACTAAAACTCTTCGACGATTTCGAATTAATGCAATAATTACAAAAGCATTTAGAAGAATACAAAGGACACCTAAAACATCACAGAGTAATATGGCTGCCATTTTTGCCTGTGAAAATTATTTTATTGTTTAATTGGTTAAAAATTTGGGAAGTAAATTTTTGAATTTAGCGTAAAAAAGTAAAACTTAAAGTAAATTTCTATTAACTCCTAATTATTAACTCCCCAATTATAATGCTCCTTCATTTTTGAGCAAGGAATTAAAGTATATTTTTAAAAATTAGAAATATAAACTGTGGAGTTTCTGATACAAAGTGGAATAGTAGGATTTAGTAGGAATTCACCGTTTCCAAAGATAATTTTTAAAATATTAGAAATAATTATAACAAACAACAAACATCGTTAGAATAAACCCTTGGAAGAAAAATGGAGGAAGAAGATTGCCAGTCTTCTTCTCTTCCTTCAATCTCTCCAAATTCTTCATTAACAACTTCATCATTCCATTCCTCTTTAATTTTTTGAGGATTTATTTGGAGAAAAATAGTCATTAAAAATAAATATATATTAAAATCTGAAGATGATTTAATAAATTATTTAAATTAAAAAATTAAATTTATTCGATAATCCATTTTCCTAAATTATTCTTAGAAGGTTTAACATAATTGGCATAGCTATGAAAGTGAACTTGGAAGATATTCGTCAAGCAAATCTGTAAAGGATCCCTAGACAGAAATCCCGGTTCAATACCAATCTAATTTTGAGGGATTTGTGGGGGGAATCTAGAGTAAACTTGGTTGGAATTCCGATAATCCGAGCTCTGAATTTTAGAGGAAATACAACATATAATATTCTTTTTCTTAAATATTCTAAAAGAAAATAGGGAGAAAACAGTAATTTATTTAAAAAATAATTTCTAAAGAATTGTCTGTAAAAATTAGCATCAATAGATATTCTTATTCAGTTTATATATTATTTTTTGCATTTTTTAAAAAAAGAAAAAAATTTAATAAATATTTAATAAATAATATAAAGCTGAGTTGATTAAATATGAAACTTTTCGACTAAAAAAAGAAAATTGAAATAGACAGAAATGAGAAAAATGGAAAGAGATGAGGGGCACTAACACCTCTCTCCCTCAGTTACTTAAATTTTGTTTACTTTTTATTTTACAGATTTTTTTAAATTAAAAAGTACATGTATATTTTTTTATTATGCTTTTTATTAAATTAAATTAAAAAAAAGAAAAAAAAAGTATTTGGGTTTGTTTTGATGTTTAGGTTCCCCTACTCTAGCTATGAAAGTTTAAACATAAAGGGATAAATCTTTTACTTAGAGGAACAATAACCATATCTGGAATAATTTCTGTATAATCTTTGAAACTTTTTAACTGCTTAAATTTGTTAAATAAGGTTAAATGAAAAATGGAAATTGTCGGGTTTTCCAAAGTTTTGGACAAAATTTTAGAGAAAATGGCAAATCACGACTTAATAAAGTTTTCAGAGTGTTTTATACAAAAAAAGAATTTATAGGAGTTTCAATCATTTTCATAAAGCATTTTTGGAGCTTCTATAATCCGGTGTGAAATTTGTAATTTTAAACAAAATATTTATTAAATAACCTCCAAAAAACAACAAATTTAGTAAATAAAAGAAAAAATATTCAAAAAAACAAGACACAAAAATTGAGTTGGAAATTACTTTAAAAAGAAAGAAATACTTGAAAGAATGCCTTAAATTGGATTTATACGAGCGCAAAAAATAGCAGCAATAAAAAAGGAAAAAATAAAAGAAAATTATTTTTTGAAGTTTTATTTAATATTAAAATTAAGAGAAACTAAATAATCTTTTAAATTTAATTTAAGTTTGAATTTTAAATTGATGAATAGGGGAGGAAGAAATATTTATTAAAAATGAGGTATTTAATTTTTAATTGCGATTTTATAAAATTTAAGTTTTGAAATTTTGATTTAATTTTAAGGTTATAATTTAATTTTAATATTGTAATTTGGGTTTTAATTAATTTGTAAGATATTTTCGAAACCCCAAAATGATTAGAAAAAATTTAAATATACTATTTCAAAATTAGAAAGTAAACAGAAAAACTAAATAAAATTCCTAAAAAGGACAACTAACTACAAACTTTTATTTATTTAAAATCAAAATAATATTTTTGTAAAAATTATTTAAAAAATATTCAAATAATAATTTTAATTTCTCGACTACTATTTCCCCCATTAGAATACTTTTAATGATTAAACAAAAAAATATTTTGTTTCAAAATTTCGAAAATAATAATTAAACAAAAAGCATTCAAAAAACAACATTTTTACTCTTCTTTCCGTTCTAAATAAATATAATATTTTATTTATTTTTTTTACTAAAAATAAATAAAATGCCGAAATTCAATCGTTTATTCCCTTTTTTTAAAACAATTTATTAAATATAAGGGTTTTCAAATTTTGTATAGAGGGAGGCGGTTATTCTTCTAAAACACAAATTTATATACGTAATCTTTTTTTAAATTTAGTTTTATTTAATTTTTGTAGAAAAAGGAAATTGAAATAAATAAAAAAATGTTTTTTGGATTTTAATATTAAATAAAAAATATAAAAATAAATTTAATTTTGGGGAGAAATATGATAAGAGATATTTCCTTTTTGATATCTAAAAATAAATATTTATTTAATTAACCAAACCCTTTTTTCAAGTTACAATATTTTCAATAATTATTTAAATATTATTGACATTAATTGCAAAGAAAATATATAATAAAAAAATAAATAAAAATTTTCTATAAGATTAGCAGTTAAATCACGTAAAAGTTTGGCCCTTTGGAGATTTGGATGGGATTTTAACTTTAAAGGGATTAAAGATTACAAAGATAGAGGTGACTAAAACTTGTAAATGCATGTTTTGTCTACAATTATGATTAAAGTTTCTAGCGCTTTCTTGAGCGTATAACCCTACATATAACAACCCCACATCTAATGAAAAAACTAAAATATAATTATTTTCTTATAATATTTATATCTAAAATTTTTCTAAAATAAAACAAAAAATAAATATAAAACAACAATATATATTTTATTTAAAATTCAGTGGCTAATCCACCCCCAGGCAATATTCTAGCTTTTGGTATTGTTAAAGTCCCACTTCCATACATGCTAACTGGTGGAGGTAAAGGAAATTCAAAATCATCTGAATTATTTGATTTCCATCTAAAAATATTTTAATTAAATAAAATTTTATTTTTAAGAAGCCCCTTCTTGGAATAACATTCACAGTTACCATTGGAGGGATATAAGGGATTTAGAGTAATTAAGAAGGTTTTTACGTATTAACAAAATATAGAAAGTCAGGGGATTTGGATTAAGAAAAATAATAGGATATTGTGGATTAAGATCGATATCAAGGGATTTGGGTGAATTAGGAGAGATAACAGGAAATAAAGGGTATCGAGTGTATTTATTTATCGGTGTTTATCGGTACGGAACAAAATTCCGATCTCTAATTACAATCATCAACATTTTACAATAACCTTTCTTATTTTTCCCAAAAAACTACCTCAATTGTTGTTTTAACATTCCAAAAGGAATATAAGAATTTCTTTCATCCATTAAATATTCGTTATTTAAATAATTATTTTTATTTTTTTCTAAAAAAATTGAAGAAATTTTGTAATTATTATTTTGTTTTTTTAAATAATTTTTATTTATTTTTGAAGATTTTTGTTGGCATTTTTTAATAAATTTAATTAAAATTAAAAATAAATAAATTAAAGGTAATAATAAAGCTAAAATAATTATTAAAATAAAAATTAATAAATTTAAATTTGTAAATAATTTTGTGGAATTAATTAAAGCATTATTTGAAGAAGAGGAAGGAAGAATAAAAGAATTATTAATATCAAATGACTAAAATAAAAAAAGTAAATTTTTAAATTTAAAGAAAAGAAAAAGAAAATAATGTTTGGGTTGATCGGCTAACTAAATTAAATGATTCTGAATAGAGTTCCATTCCTTAGCCTTCTATTTTTAATTTAATTAATTTTTCTATATTACCTAATCATTTTTATGTGCATACCTTCGTTCTCTTTAAGCATTAAATAAAATGTTTTTCCCTAATTTAATATCCAATCCTAACGAAAATATACCTTAAGCAGAACTTAAACAAAGCCTAAGGAAAATTTATACCTACAGAGAAAAAATATTAAAATTTATAAAGAAAAGATTCAGCACAAAAATTTAGAAGTAAATTAAACAAGTTTATTTTTTTCAATCTTAACTAGGGTTGCCGTTTTCGATTCGAGCCGACGTTCGATGCATTTTTTCAAGCTTGGTTTTTTTTCGATTCGGTTCGTTTTCGAGCTTTTCGAGCTGAAAAGCCTCGGCTCGCCTAATCTTTAGAGTTTCTGTTCGAGCGAGCTGGCAACCTTAATCTTAACTTATTTTATACATATCAGACAACCCCCAATATTTCTTTACAAAAAATAAAACAACTGTATTTTCACTCCCCCACTTATTAAAAATATTTAATTTTTCTTACTTTTTCCTCAAATCCAATAATTCCAAAATTTTCTTTTAATTTATTTCTTGTATTATTTAATTTAAATATATTTTTAATTATTTGTAATCCAATAAAAGAATTAATTGGCTGGAATAAATTATCCAAAAAATAAATATTTAATATTAAACAATTTTCTCTTCCACATTGAAATAAACGATAAATTGGTATATATTTTATATTTAAATAAGTAGTATTTGTTAAATTAATATTATTTTGGACAATTGAAGAAAGTATACTTAAAAAATTAAAAATTGTTTTGTATTTAGTAGTAAAAGAGACGGAACTTTCTGTTATCGTTAAAACTTCCGTAACTCTCTTTTAAGTATTTTATGTTCTAGATTGTTTTACCTTTCCAATTCAATCAAATCCAAATCATCAATATCATTATCCCTGAATATATATAATTCTAATAAATGTTCATTTGGATTGAGCAGTGAAACCTTAAAGGATTTATTGGATTACTTTTAATATTGGAGAGTAAAGTTGTTTCTCCTATTTAAATTCGAATACTATTAAGATAAGGTGATCGAAGAGACTAAAAGATAATAAAGAATACGTGAACTCAGAATAAGATATACGTATAGGATTTCCCCTATGTAACTAGGATCTCTCCTTCTCTAATTTAAACAATTTAAATATTTCCAGTTTTCTTTACCGTAACAGTTGTTTGATCTTCATGTTGAGCAGGTAAAGGATCATTTACCCTTACTCGAAAAGTATATCTTTAAAAATAAATTCATTAAATATTTACTATAATTAAATTTATTAACGATTTAATTGCTGTCTTAGATAAATCAACATCCTCTTTAATTGACAATTCCCCAGTTGAACGATTTAAATTAAAAGGAATATTAGACATTGAAATTGGCTTTAGAAAATGAAAAAAATAAATATTTTTAAAATTAAATCTACTATACTTCTCCAAAAGTTTGTATCATTCCTTCACCCCAACTATAACGTAAATTGTATTTATCCCCTTCATC